AGTTTTCCCCCCCCCCCCCCCCCCCCCCCCCGTGCGAAATCTCCCTTCTCCTCCAGCATACTGTCCAAGAGGTTGCGCGGGAATGATCCCTACTTTTACCTTTGCGGCCATCACAGGACAGTCCCGGTTGTAATGTCCCTTCTCTCCACACCCGGTACACTTCCCTTCTTCCCTACGTTTCAACACTTCCTCCGCACTGGGTCTCGGCCAACGACGGTTCAGCTCGTCCACGTTTGTTGGTATTGTCTTTCCCCCGTCCGTGTTTCTTGGTTGAGGGACCACGAACTTTGCCGTAGATTGCCCTTTCTCCTCTACCTTCTTCCCCTCTCCCCTACTCGGTTCCTCCCTCTTCTCCCACTGCTCCTTTGGTTCCTTTCTCTTCTTCTCATTCTCTTTCTCCACCCTTCGTTGGTGTAAGCGGTTGTCCGTGGGGACCACGAACTTGATCAACTCTCATACGGTGTTAAAAACCTTTCCATGGCGAGCGATTTCATCCAGCAAGTGACTTTTTAGTCCATTCTTTGCTCAGTCCACGAGGTTCCCATCATCACCCCATCCTAACACCGTTACATATCGTTGAAAGGCGGCAAAGTACGCCGAAGCCGACCCATTCTGTCGTAGCTCGTTTATCCCTCTTGCAGCGGTTCCCTCCTCGCCAGGGTCTCCGAAGTTGGTCTTGAGGTATTGGATGAACTTCTTATAGTCTAGAAGATGTTCGGGAGGGTCGTCTTTAGGCAAGTCCGGCTGAAGGGCAAGAAGAGGAGTTTCACGTAGATGGGAGATCATGAAAATTTTTTTTACTCGATCAGTGGGGAACTTGCAAGCGTTGATTTCGAAGTGTACTTCACATTCTGAGATGAAAGCAGTGAGCTTTGACCTCTCGCCTCTCCAAAGGTCTGGGAGAGGAAGTTTTATCCCTCCACTCATCTCAGCTACCCCTGGGGTCGCCGAAGCTTGCCTCCCCAAGGCGAATCGCACCCCTTCAGAGATCCCCTCAACTATTCCCCCAACCGTCTCCTGCTCCTTCTTCTTCTCCTGTTCCTCTCAGCACTTTCTTTCCGCTATCATATCCCTATTCATTTCCATCATCATGTTCATCATTGCTAGCATCATCTTCTGAGTCCCAACTTCTCCTTCTGTTCTTCCCACACCCTCACTCCCCGCCGGACTTAGTCTACCTTCCGTGTTCCTCTCCCTTGGTCATGGAGTCTGTCCTGACCCTTCTGAACCCATCCTCACGGTTGGTGGTTCTGATAGCCCGGTCGGCTGAGGTGGTGGTTCAAGGGGTAGAGGAGGATAGAACTCATCTCCTTGCGTCAATCCTTTGGGGGTATCAATTGCACCAGGCAATGGTCCCAAGCTTTGTCTTAATTCCTCCAACATCCTCCTCTCCGTCTCTTCTACCGTTTCTCCTGGTCTACTCGTACTTCTTGTTACTCTTCTTTCCGGGTGCATATAACTTTGAACTTCTCCGAGGTTTGTACGGGTCGTCGGTAAGAGTGATCCTTGATACTGTCACAAACGTTGGTTCTTCTCTCTCTAATGACCGACGGTCGACAAACCTCGGCTAACTTTGTTGTACTAGGGCGCTGATGTCTTGCTGAGACAGGGTATTCGTTGGGAAACTACGGCTAACTACGCCGTGGTGGTACGTCGAGTGGTAAACGATAAGATGATTGTCGATGAACTACGGCTAATTTTGCCGTGCTGTGTCGAACTGCTGAGTGGTAGCTCTCCTTAACTTGAAGGTGGTAGCTACTGATTATATCTCTCGCTACTGACAACAATCAAGGATCGCTGAAGCAGTTCAGCGATCTGTAAGCTATCTATACTTCTCCTCTCTTCTCATAGAACGTCCCTCAACTCCTGCATAGCCTCGCGCTCAGTCCTCTTCACTCAACTTCGCCGTACCTTGCCATATCCCCGATGTCCTAACTTCGCCGCACTTCGTCTGACTTTCTCCACTCTGCTCTGAATCCCTCGGTATCCTTCTCCTAACTTCGTCGTAGTTCTCCGCCGGACGGGATTACTAATAACCCCTAGTTTCCCGTAACTTCGCCGTAGTCGGCCTCAGTGGTTCGGGTTATGGTGGTTGATGGGTAATAGGGGTTTGGCCATGATGAACGGAGGGTCGATGGTTGTGGTAGTCAGGGGATGTTACGATATGGTTTGTGACAAGCTACAACCTTCAAGTTAGGGAGAGCTACCACTCAGCAGTTCGACGTACCACGGCAAAGTTAGCCGCAGTTCATCGACGACCACCTTATTGTTTACCACTCGACACATCACTACGGCGTAGTTAGCCGTAGTTCCCTGACGAGTACCCTGTCTCAGTGAGACATCGACACCCCAAGACGACATAGTTAGCCGAGGTCTGTCGACCGTTGGTCAGTAGAGAAGAAGAACCATCGTTTGTGACACTGACAAAGTTTGTGCCTCCCTAACTTCGTATCTCCCTGACTTCGTATCTCCCTGACTGTGTATCTCCCTAACTTTGTATCTCCCTAACTTTGTATCTCCCTAACTTTGTATCTCCCTAACTTTGTATCTCCCTAACTTTGTATCTCCCTAACTTCATATCCTCCTAACTTCGTACATGACTAACTTTGTCAAGACAAAGTTAGCCTCCTAATACCCTCGTGGGTGGTGAAGTTCATGAGAGCGGGATCGTTGATGGCAAAATGATGTCCAAAGGAACCACGTTTGATGGGAAAGGATGATGTCACGCGAATTGTGCTGACTTGGTGAGAGTGTTCCGTGCGCATGTTCATGATGTCCTGCAAGCACTTCCTGGGATGTTGCCAGAAAGAAGAGATGTATGCGCTCATGCCTATCTGACCTGCCATACAATAACCTCACCCATAAGTGTTTGTACCAGGGCGTGGATGCAGAGTATAGTCCTTCCTGCCTTTCAATTTCACTCGACACTTCTCAGTCCCTTGCTATTATCCACCTCTGTGTCGGCAAGCAGCCTGCACATGGCTATCAATGTAGCCAGATTACTCTGAGGATCTACACTGAAACCAAAAGGCCTCCTGGTTCTGATTGCTGAATTTTAGCTGGCCTGCAGTGAGATACATGTAAGCTGTCCATGAAGAAAGGGCGCCATTTTTGTCGTCCTGTAAAAGCTGATTGCTAGATAGCCGTGCGCTGTTATTCTTAGCTATGACCATAGCAACAAAGAGTAACCAGGAGAGATTGCTAGAGGTATACATATTGAGTCACCGAACGTATGCTATCAGTCTTTCACACGTCCATTCTGTTTTCATCTCCGGAAGTGCCTGGCATCATACCAAGGTTAGAAGGAGTATATTCAGAGGTGTGCTTCTCTCCCACTCAGCGGACGGAAGGGTACCTCTCACCCCCACCCCCCACAATCTTCCAGATTCCAGAGTTCAACTTGGCCCCCAGGTATCATCCCCACATTTGCGCTGTCTCATGGTGGGTATCCGCCCTTTATTAACAGTCATATGCCCAAACAGCGTCGAGAACGTGCTCTGCCCATGACTTCTGAAGGGTGAGATCATACTCAAAACTCCCTGTATGTTGGAACAACTCTTTAGCGGTCTGGGAAAGACATAACCTCTTGACCTCCTCAGCCTGACACATTTGTGTACAGTCTTCCCAGAAGGCTTCAGCCAAAAGGGTAGCAACATTCTTGCGTAAAGTATACTTAGATGATCTGTCAAGAACTTCGATATTCGTATGAGTATCAAGCCACTGTTGTATGCTGTCCTGACCCGCTATGAGAAGACCATGAAAAACCTTCTGATTTGGCCAAAGAAACAAATTGCTAGAGTCCACTGTGAGACGCGGGGCCTCTAAGGTGCTTCCAGTACTGTGGGCCCTGGAAGCAAAAGCGGACGTGGTCAAAGGGCCTTCATCCCAACTGACTAAGGGAATGTGGAGGTGTGAGGTATCAGCTTCACGCCTCTTTGGGAGTTTTTGACCCTTTGGAACATTGTGAGACTTGGAGTTGCTAGATGAGTTTGAGCTTGAAGGCGTCGAACTCAGAGGACGGATGCGAGCTGGATCAATTGATTCTGTCTTTGAGCTCCAGGGTGAGGAGGGTCGGGGTATGAACTTGTATGAATCACTTAGACTAACAGCTTGGACTAGGAAGCATTCTTCCAGCCAGGGAACGTGCTTGAATGGACCAGTATCAAGCTCCATGTCGGCCTGATGTCAAGTGAGCACAATTGGAGGAGAGGTAGATGCAAGAAGAAGGTAAGGAAGAAACCTGAGATTGTTGAGTCTCAATTTCTGGGGACACTTTTTCACATCAAGTCAAGAGCTGCTGAAAGGATGACAAGAAAGTGGGAAACTGTGTACTCAGCTTCTAGCCGTTGTACAGGGGTGTGCGTGTACAGGATGGCGGATTGTCCGGGTGTTGCTACGTGAGCGGCTTTTGGTTAATGACCAACAGAAACCCCTCATGACCATTTTCCATTCAGGGGTGAATTATGGTTGTGAAACCCTGACTAGATGCCTGTTACTTCGACCAGTTGAGCCACCCGTGATGGGACTGATGAACATGCTGGTAGATGTTCCTCATGACCTCTTGCCGCAGTTGATCCAGACTACCTCGGTTGTTGTCAGGACCGGACGTTGAAGATAGTCTGCGTCTATGAGCTATAAAGGGCCTCATAGGGAACAGACCTAGTGATGTAGTATGTTGTCTAGTGATGTAGAATAGAAGATCAAAGAGACTAGAAGATCAAAGAGACTCTTTATTCAATGAGATTGAGTGGGAAAAGTTATAGTAATTGACGAGAAAATGCATTGGACAAGACATCTACAAAATGGGGCGGTTTCTATATAGGGAAAGGGGAATGGAGTAATACCAAAAGCTATGGAGTAAAGACGGAGAATAGTATGAGGTAGAAGAGCGAAGGAAGAGGGACATAGATGAGGGACCCCGAGATGAAGGACAAGAGGCCCCCTTTGCGCACAAAGTCAGATCTCTTCGTGCACAAAGTCACGTGACACTGCCACAAACACATGGCGTTATTAGTAGTAAATAAAGACACCTGTGACACTGCACGGACCATCCTTCCACCTCTCTGCACACACATCAAAGTAATGAACTTTGCTATGAAATTCTCTCCACAGATATCAATAATGCATTTCTCCTGAAAACAATGTAGATCTATAGAGCTGATCTGTCTCTATCAGCTCATGAAGAGTTTACATCAAAAAGACAAGTACTGACCGAGATACATGATCTCCTCTTCACCCCCTTTGTCCACCTGTAAAATCCTGTTCTCCTGGCCTATACTCGCGAGGGGGGAATTCCTGTCTCATACCACCGTGCCTGGCCTCTAGGACACTCCTTTCTGCGAAGTTTGGGCCATTTCCAGGGCCTTCTTGAGCATAGGGTGGCGGGTACACAGGTGGATAAAAAGTAGGTGGAAAATTCGAATAATTCGACACAGGAGGGTACATAGGTGGCCTCTGGTACCAATTAGATGGCCCAGGGACCCCTGGGAGCAACTGGGGAGAAGGGTGGAAGGGATGATGATGATATTGAGGTATTATCTGCATAAATCAGCCGGGAACTTTCATAAATCAACCAGCAGAAGTGGTAGGACAGATTTCAATGAAGTGCGTACCTGTAGCCCTGTGCCCATCGTCTCTGAGGCCGTCCTCGCCGTCACAGAGGCTGTTCTTGCTATCACAGGCTGTGTCATCATCACAGAAGTCCTCTCCACCATCCTTTCTGCATTATTCTGTCCTGTGACTTGAATTCGAGCTAATAACTCCTGTTGTCTTGCTGCTACTGCTTTCTTAGCAGCACACATCCATGTACCCGCATGTTTCATACCACAGAGACTACATTTAGGTGGTGGTGGTCGGTAGGGAGCAGATTGCTCCGATTGCGACAGAATTCTTCCACTGCTGGCTCGAGGGGGAGCAGTATTCGAGGCCGCAGGCCTCGGGAGACGTTGCAAGGCAGGAGGGATCAAAGGAGACAGTGTAGAAGGGGTAAACATTGGTGTAGGCCGAACAACAGTGATTCCTTGAGAGGCCAAAGCCTGAGAAGCAGAGATACGAAGAGCACGACGAGCTCGTAAACCAAGGTTCAGCGGGGGGTCCAGGATGTACCTATCTGCATTATCGTTGGCTTGAAATTCGTCAGAGAGTCGTTGAACCCCGGTAGCCTGCAGAGAAGTTTGCTGAGCTCGATTATTGGTGTCTTCAAGAAGTTTTTCGAACCCGTTGTTTGGCAGTAGTCTCCAATGATGATGTATCTGTTCAATTGTCAGGACACCGTCTTCTCTGAGGATAGGTACGATTTTATGAGCACAGGGCAGTCCTGTAGATGCGAAGAACTTTCCTGAACATTCATTATTGCTGTTTTGAGCTTCGAGAAGTTTACTGGCAATTTGTATCTGATGTTCAAGTTCATTGGCGGCGAATCTTGAGATATCTCAACGAATGACACTGAGTACACGATCACCCAGTGGAGCTCGTACCCTTTCCTGACCATTTTCCAATGTAATATTGGCCCACTGTCTTTCTAAAAAACCATCTACCTTATGAATGACATGCCAAAGTGTTCCCGTGTGTGTCTTTAAGAACGATGTTCCCCTTCATTTCGTGATGTTGTATGCTGCATTAAATTGCGATTCTGATTGGTAAAAGCATGAGCCCATTTCTCTTTACTTTCAAGTAGTCTTTCTATGTATCGAATTGCTGGTTTATGAGGCGGTTTTGAAAATTCGAGTCGAATCTTCTCCATCCCCTGGTTAAGCTTGAAATCATTTTTCGCTGCAACCACTTCTCTCATCCACATGTCTCCGAATCTTGACCTCTCTCCCACAGGATCTTCTTCGTCTTTAAAACATTGAGACTTATCACAGGCGTGTTTGATGTTTTCTCGCAGGTGCCAGGTACAGAACTGCTGAACAGCATTTGGGAGGTGTTTTTCAGTGCTTTAGCTAATGCTCTTTCTCTGTCGGTCACTACCACCTGTATTCGATGAGGTAGAGGGCCCATTAGATCGAGAAATCCTTTAAGGGCGATATTATACCAATCTGTAGTCTCTCGGTTGAGAAAAGCAATTGCTGCCGTAAATGTTTTATTGGTAGCCGTCATACCAGTGATGTGTAGCATTGGATAACTGTATCGATTGGTGTTATACGTACAATCCATCATGAGAACGGTTGGGTACCGGTGTAACAGAGCTCTCGCAGTGTGAGTGGTGTAGATAAGGCCCCGGGTTTCGTTGTGATTGTTTATTAGGCCTTTAAAGAGGCGTTTCTCTTCTTCAAGTCGTAAAAACAAGCTCTCTGTTGCTGAACGTCCTTGCTGTCGAGTTTTCTCATACCTCCACTTGAAGTTTGACACATCTGCAGCTGTCAGGAGAGGTTGATCGGGGTGATTTTGAAGTATTTCAAGGATTTGGTGGGGGGTAAAGCCTTTATCGATGTATTCTTTGAGAAATTTACTGATAGCCGGGGTTCGTGAGGCCTTTCGAAGGTGTGAGAGTAGCATGTTTTTTATTGGCGGGTGATTATGTTCATTACATACGGTGGTGAGCAGTACCGGACGATATCCATCGGCGAGGGCGTCTTTTTCGTGAACTCTGGAGAGTTTTAATTGAAAAGGACAGTCTTGTCGCTGAGTATGACGTTTTCGCTGTCGAACTTGCTCATATCGAACCTGCCGACCTGTCCTGTACTGTCCACTGCAGATACATCGCAGAGTCATATATTGAGCTGGTGGATTGCTTGAGCCGGTAACCAGAGCAAAACCCTTGTCCTTGGCTATGACAGAGAGCTTCTCGCGGGCGACATTGATCGATGGCTGAGGAGAAATTCGCAAAGGGGAATGAACCAAATTGGGGAGACGTTCATGAGGACCAAATTCATCTTCTTCAAGTGGTAGCAGTTGATCTTCGGTTTCAGTGTCCTGAGTATGGCTGTGAGGGGTTCCGGGACCAGAAGGAAGATTAAAGAAGTCATCTGACTGTTCAGGAGATGAGTTTGGTATACTGAGTTCGCGTAGAGGGGTAGGAGACAGCGGAACAGGTGAAGATGGCTGAGTTTCGGGGACCAAAACCTCGCTGGGGCTACGCTCGAATTTGAGAGGGGGGAGAGACGGGGGAAGTTCATAATTGAAGCTATCTTCACTTGAGGAGTCTGAGATCTCGATGGGCTGAGAAGCAGACATTGTAAAGGGTGGAATATGAGGAGAAATGGACTAAACACATTAGCCCAGGCCACGAGGAGAAGCAGAGAAGGGAGATACGTACGATTTGGTCAGGAGGCAGTTTTTAGTGGTGTAAACAGTGTAGATAGGGGTATTTGGGGAGGCTGAGAACGATGGTGATGTTTAGAAGCTCTTGTTTGCAGTTGTTGGAGCTGTAGGAGAGGTTTTATGCTTGGTATAGAGGACGGGTTGAATGAACCAAGTGGAAAGAAGTTGCATAGTGTCCGTGCAGTGTCACACGTGTCTTTATTTACTACTGATAACGCCACATGTTTGTGGCAGTGTCACGTGACTTTGTGCACGAAGAGATCTGACTTTGTGCGCAAAGGGGGCCTCGAAGGACAAGTATCATGGGGTGTAGAATTAGCGACTAAGGAACAAAAGAGAACGGGGGAAGCCTGTAAGGGGAAGAGCAAAGAGCAAGGTGGAGATAGGAACGATTGAATAGGAGTACGACTCTGAGGATCCCGTCCTACTCGTGATCCTGACAGTTGTGGACTGGCTCAGTTGTTTCGTTGATATGGTCCGCTACACATCTGATGCTTCTAAGAGGAAGAAGGCTTTGAACCTCTTTCTCCACATGGCGCCTTACTATCAAGTAGGTCATGTTCAACTCTTACTGTACTCATCAATACTCGTGAAGAGCTCTCTAGAGGTGTCATCAATGGTAGAAGCCCCCCAATTAGGGTGTGAAGACCGTGCGCAATCAGTCTGTCTGTTAGGGACACAGCCGGAGACATGCACCTCCGGAGCTGCACGGACCTGATCGTTCCCGGCCAGAGATGTACCACTCCGGAGCGGAACACTCCCTTTAGCCATTCCCATTCAGAGAAACATCAATAACAGATCCTCCACGCCATACAAGACAGTGTTGGTAGCTCCAAAGGGCAGATGCTCTATTAAGACAAGTCTAAGAGGTAACCACTACAGTGCTGTTCAACATCACATGCTGTATTTGGCAAGAAGGTCAGCCAATATCTTGAACCAGGGGGGATTCCAATGGTGATGTATCATAGGTAATTGTTGCAGTGTTTGTAGATTTCAAGTTGTGGGGCCAGACCACCATGACTTCAAGAGTCCAGGAGATGGTACCACAGGATATCTGTACTGTGATTCATGTATGTGGAGAGCTTGGGGATGATAAGAGCGAAAATGCTCTGGCCGTGTCTGGACCCCTCTGGAGCTGCATGGTTCTCTGGCCAGGTCCAAGAGGGGGGTTTTGAACCATGCAGCTCCGGAGGTGCACGTCTCCGGCCGTGTCCTCAACATGTCCACAACGTAGCGGGACGGCATTCAATATGCTTCTTGCTCAGCTTATCAAGAGAACTACAACTTGGCGCACAATCTCAGTCCTTGTAAGCGGATCACATAAGGTCGTGTGTGATCTCCGCTCCGTGTACATGCCGTATGTACTACACAACTTGTGCTCAAAAATCTATGTACCGGTTCAACACGGTTCACAACGGTCCACAGATTGACCTGATGATACATATGACCTACTGGAACCCCCACAATGGTGGTTTGTCATGGCTGTCAAAACTCAACTGACCATCAGTCACTTTGCCCTAGTCAAACCATCCAGAGTGGATCTGATGGAAATGCTAGTAGACTTCTGTTAGGACCTCATGTGACAGTTAATCTTGACGTTCTTGTCACAAACCACTGACTACCCAGTGTCCGGCCGTATGACAGTACCATCTGTTCCCACTGAACAAAAAGGGTGGTCAACCGGTGATGTCTACAATCACCAATTACTATTTATGTACCCGTCATCTTCCTTAACTTTGCTTCCTTAACCTAGCTTAACCTGGATGTCTTGACAACTCGTGACAGTTCTCCGTTGTCACATCATCAATATGGTCCACTGCATGTCTGGTGCTTTGAGGAGAGAGCTTTTGACTTTCTTCCCTATATGCCCCCTTGATAGGAATTGATATCTGTATAGATCCTGATATAGTCTTCACTCCCCATCAAAAGCCGTCTAGAGGTGCTATCAAGCCTAGAACCCTACAATCATAGCCAGAAGGAAACCGTGCCCGTTTCGTTGAGGCAAATCATTAGGGCCCAGATGTTGCAGATATTTGTCACAAAGTGTGTGACAAGTCGAGCGAAAGTCTGGGAAGGGTATTTAACCAGCGATCGGCGGTAGAGTTAACCGCCGATTAATAGGCCTTTTCGTCGCAGTGGTTAAGATCACTGTTCCGTTGGGCACTGTTATATCGTGCATATGCTGGTCAGTATGTCTCGTGACAATATTCTGCACCTATCAGTTATGGGTGTAGGGCAATGTAGGGAACAAACCAAGTGATGTCAAAGATTCAAGAGATAAGATTGTCCCAAACACCCTAGGAATTTGATCAGCTTCAGTGACAGGAGATACTGCTAAGTAAAGAAGAAATACATCTACAAAAATGGACTGTGTCTCATAGTTATCACAAATTGAATTGACACCACATCAATGGAGTCAAAATGACGAAAGAGATGATGTAGAAGAGTGAAATATGATCAAAATAAGGAGACTGTCAAGTGATTCCGAAATATCAGATAAGGACAAAAGGTGAAGGTAATTTCACCCGTGATGAGAGTGAGAAGATGAATAGGCAAGATGCATTGGAGTGTAAATACAGCTTTGAGGTACATATATGTAGGTACCCATATCTAGGTATTTGTGAGCATGTCCCTGTGATCAACAGTAGACTTAGTTTGTGAACGGGTCCGAATATGCCCAGTAGAAGAACGCTGGCAGGGCTTAAGTCTCATTGGCGAGTTTGAACTGGTTGGTCGGCGGCCTGTTACACTAGTAGAAAGTCTATCCCACCACGAGACACTGTTCATGATGGACGTCCACGTTGCTTTGATCCACCTGAATCATCAACTTTCCATAGCGTCATGTCTAGCTCCCTCGACTTGAGTGCATCATCAAGAGCACTACGAACCGAATCGGGACGAAGGGCAGGTAAAAGCCAGTTGTAGTGCTGTTCAGTACTATCATACCGGTAGAGATGAGTATTGGGGTCCTCCAAGAGTCCGCGCTTTTTCTCTGGTGAGGTACAGACATCACAAATTGTCCTCCAAAATATCTTTTGTAAGATCTGTCCCATGTTTGTTTTTCCTTTCCGTGGGTTGGTTCCTTTCTTCCTGTGGAGCATGTACCAGTTTGTAATCACCTCGGAGACAGATTCCAAGAACCTGTACCAGACGGTCGGATGTGTTTGGAGTTTTCCTTGAGCAATTATGAACGCTGATACCTTATCTTCTCCATGAGTGAGTTTTGTGAGTTGTTTAGGTTTATAGATTGCACCCAGTGGTAAGCGATGTGTGGCAGAGGTGCCAAGGGGCAGTGAAAGGTTTGTAGCATCTGCGACTGTCAAGTTACCCAGGCGAAGTAGACTGGTAACACCAATGGATACTCATCCTCATCCTCATTCTCAGCCTTATCCTCAATTACAATCCCATCCTTGTCCTCAATCTCATCCTCAGCCTCACCCATATCCTCATCCTCAGCCTCATCCATATGGTCGGGGCTGGTCTCCTGGATGGAAGGATCAAGAGGATCGGGCGTGAGACCAGGGTGTAAGTCCGACGGTGCTATGGTCCTAATGTTTTCCTCCGGGAATGATAGTCTTCCCTCTGAGGGATCGGAAGCAGTACCCGGAGGTGCATAAATAAAGATGTTTGGATTGCCATCTCTTTTGAAATGATGGGAATCTGCGTCCCAAGAATCTGGCCACGGATCATGAGAATCATCAAGGGTGAGAGAGAAGCGAGAGGGAGACACTCCTGACATGGAATTCATGAAGATTTGCCACTGTAAAGCCTGAAAAACCTGTATAGGCAGATAAGCTGCTGGGGGAAGAAGGGGAGTTGTCCTTCCGAATATCGAATGAGTGTGGAGATAGAGTGAGAGAGAAAGAGAGAGGGATAGAGATAGAGTGTGTGTGTGTGTGTGTAGATATGGGAGAGAGGTCAATCGATTGTTTTCAACTTTCATACATATGGTGGGAAAGAATCTGGAGGTTTCTCACCCTTTCAACTTCAATGCTAGCGGAATGGGAATCGAGGGGAACAGGAGAGGGAAGGAAGATCGGAGGAGACGAGATCGGGTTCGGATTCAAGCTCCGAGAACAAGAGGCAGTGTCGCATAATGGATAGTCTGACAGCAAAAGTCCGAACCGAACTTCGCGCACGACATCAAATCTCTTCACGCACGACAAAGTCACGTGATCAGTGTTAGGCATGCAGCACAAAGTTGTTAGGCGCACGCGGGGACATCACTTCCGACCTCCCCCCCCCCCACTGTTCTCTGGTCAGAGTTGCTGACCTGTTATGGTTTATTACTCCGTGATTTATGCATAAAACAATCCCAATTTTTACACGGACATGTAGATATCGTTCCCCTTCATTGGCTAGTAAAATTTTCGGGCTGAAAGGTTAAGAACTGACCGAGATAAACTGGTCTCTCTTCCACCCTGTCACGGCCGTCAAACAACTATCTTCTGGCAGACCGACGGTCGACGAACCTCGGCTAACTTGATGCTCCTGAGTTGAAGTCTCACCCAACCGAGAGGGCGCAGACGTCGAAAGGAGTGTAACTACGGCGTACTTCGGCGTAGTTACTCTAACTGGGGTTTTGTTCTACTGATGGCGATGTATCTCGAATTGTATATAGCTATCTCTATCTGTCTTTCTCTACTGACAACAATCAAGGATCGCTGAAGAACTTCAGCGATCTTCTCAGCTAATATTATCTACTCCTCCTAGACGTTCATCCAACCCTCTCGCGCTTTGACGTACTTCAACGCACTTAGTCCAACTTCCCCGAGCCCTCGGCCATCCTCTTCCTCCTTCGACTAACTCCGCCTAACATCGCCGCACTTCTGCTCCCATTGTCCCTACTTAGCCTAACTCCGTCTAACTTCGCCGTACTTCTGCTCCCATTGTCCCTACTTAGCCTAACTCCGTCTAACTTCGCCGTACTTGGTGTCAGAAGTCCTGAGTTACGTGTAGAGTAAAGAGGTTAAGGCGTGATGGGGTTTTGATGGCCAAAGGAGGGTCATTGTTGGTGGAGTAATCGAGGTGTCGCGACGTAGTTCGTGACAGTCGCCCCCTTCTTTAGCCGCGAACGTCCTCGTGAGCGATTACACCTCTGTCGTGTCAAGAGAACTTAGCAGCGTAGTACCCCCATTCTCTCCCTCCCCATGACCATCCTTCACCCTTCTGCTCTTTGCGCCGCACTTCGTAGTTGGGCCTCCTTTCACTCCAAAACCCGACAATGAGACTCCCCTAACTTCGTCGAGGTTTGCCGTAAGAAGCCCTGTGTCTTTTGTAGGTGAGACACGCTTCCTGAATGGCAGCCGAACAACACCGTTGCTTGTCGAAGTAACCCTCGCTTATATTGAGATGAGACACTATAGCGTGGGAATTTTGATCGTCCCTGCGATGCCTTTTGTTGATGAAACGCGAAGTTTGCTGCATGTTGACGACGAGGGGTTAGGTTTGATTATACTAAATACTGAGCAGTTCGTCGAGCTTCTCTCTTTTTCCCATCTGCTTTCAAAACTTTCTATCTCTCTTACCTAGAAAACAGATTTGTTACCTTGAATCATCGCCTCAAGTTTTATTCTCTTTTAAATATCTTAACGTCATGGCCCCTTCTACTCCTACACCCAGCCCTTTCGCCGCCATGAGGAACTTTGGTGGTATGGTGTCATCTGCTCGTGAGTTTTCATCGATACTCACCCTACCTCGCCGAACTTGGCTGATGTTCAGTTTCTTTCGGCGACAGGTCTCGCCAAGTCTCCTCCCTCGGCCTCGGCACTCTCTCTCTGGGGGAGCCGTCTGGCGCTCCCGCGCCCCCTCGCTCCGCCTCTCCCTCCGCTGGTTCTCCCTCCCCCGTGTCTGGTTCTCCCGTCCCCGTAACGGGTTCTCCTGGAGGGCCTCCTCCTGCCGCCACTCCTCGCCGTAGGACGCCCGCCTTTTGTCCTGGTGAGTCTCCGTCCTCCTCCGACCAGGACTCGCTCAGTGGGGGCTCGGAGTCGAGTGATCGACCCGACACCGAAGAAAGTGAGGATGATGATGATGGGGAGGGTAGGATCGATAGTGAGGCTGAAAGCGAGTTAGAAGAATACCCGGATGATGATGTGGAGGTGATTAGTGTAGAGGACAACAACGTAGATAGTCCTGAGCGTGAGTTCTTCGTCCAACCTCTCACACCTTCGCCGAACTTGGCCTTGTTTATCTGTTCTTTAGCTCTCCAAGACATTGCTAACTCGCAGCCGGTCCTGCCCCTCCCCCTGCTCAAATTGTGGGCCAGAAACGACGCCAGAAACGACGCCGTTCCCTCTCCTCTTCTTCTTCTTCCTCTTCTTCTTCCTCTTCCGGGGTTCTCCCCCCCGCCAACGCCATCGCCGCTGCCGCCGCTGCTGCCGCCGCCCGCCCTGCCGCCGCCATCGCCCGCTCTGCTGCCGCCGCCGCCCCCCCCCCTTCCCCCAGAGGGGAGCCTTCGCCCAAACGGGTGAAGAGATCACTGCGGGAAGAAGAGTACTTGTGGGAGAAGATGAAGTCCGAGCCTGGTCGTTGGATCGCGGTTGGTGTTGACGAAGCGTGTGATCGTTGCCGGTGAGTCCACCTATTCGTACTACGCCGAAGTTACTCCTGCTAATTAGTAGACGTGAGATTATCACGTATAATCGTCCAAACTGGCCCTGCCTCAAGGCAGTCAGGCCACACAACAAGGCCCTCCGTTGTGCTTCATGCACGTCTGGCCCCTGCTCCTTCTGTCCCGTTTCCTCTGCCCGGGACATCCCGCCCCGTCCCTTCGACGCTTCTCCTCTCCCCCCTCCCCAGACTCCAGCGTCTGTCCCCCGTTCGCGGGTACCGTCTTCGTCTCTCCGGTCGGTTCGCCGAACTTCGCCGTCCTCCCGCTCGTCGCCTCCCTCGCCCTCGCCTTTTGTTCCTGTGGCCGGCCCGTCGCGTCTCCCGGCTGCTCCTCCTTCGTCCTCCCGTCGTCCTTCGACCTCTCGGCCCTCGGCCTCTCGTCCTTCGGCCCCTCGTCCGTCCTCTCCTGTGGTGGCTTCTCCTCCGGCCCACAGCACCCGAAGTCGCCGTCCTTCTGCTCCTCCGGCTACCCCAGCGGCCGCCCCTGTCACCGAGTCCCCCGCTGCCAAGAAGACCCCGAAGTCTTCTTTAAAGAAATCAAAAGGGAAAAGGAAGGAGAAAGAGGTCGTCTTTGAAGCTGGTGATGTGGAAGATGAAGCTACTCAGCGTGCTGGGCCCTCTGTTCCTCAGTTGTCCTTCGTCCACCCTCGTATCTCCCTGGACCCTCGTATCCCGGAGGACGAGAAAGAATTTGCTACGTATCGTTCTCTCGTTCTCGGCCTCACCACTCAGCTTGACGTCGCTCGGCGTGATACATCTCTCTTGCTCGACTTCTCCACTCGTCAAGCCAACGCCTTGAATAACCTTACTGCGGCGTTAGTAGATGTAGTCAACGGTGGGAATCTGAACGAGGAAGCAAGGACGAGGTTAGCGGACGTCTCTCGCCGAAGGCTTACTGAGATAGCCGATGTTCGCCGAAGACTTTACGACACCCCCTTCCTCGTTACTCCTATGGCATACGAGCCACCACCGTCCATCGGCTGGTTAGGCCCCCGGAGTAGTTCTCGAGTCCCTGCTTCTGCTCAGACTGCTCTCGATCTCCTTAGTCTTCCGTCCGAGTGTCTTAGGACCATACGTTCCCTGTGGAGGACTCCGAGCATGCAAGCTGCTCGGGATGTCCAGGACTTTGGTGATTTCTTTGGGGCTATGAACCGGGCATGGAATGCTTCCCTCTCGACTGTTTTCCCCCCTGACAGTCTCGATCTACCTTCGGCCATCGGTACTCTCCACACCAATCTCGCGGGGCCGAGTAGCGCTAAGGAGAAAGGAAAAGGAAAGGGTAAGGGTAAGGGCAAGTGAGCGGTACGTAGCTGTAATCCTATGTTGTATGCAGTACGTTCTACCTCCTAGCCCTCCGCAGTCGCCCTTCCTTCGGCTTAGTAGGGTGAAGTTCGTGGAACTTCGCCAATATGTCATCAGCTCCGTCGACGTTCTCTACTGGTTCCCATGATACCGAATCGTCTGTTCCTTCGTAACCTAACCATTCTACTAAGTACTCTAACTTTCCTGATCTTTTATTTACTCTAGAGTCCACAATGTCCTTTACTTCCCACGATTCTCCTACGTTATCTACTTCTACTGGGCCAGGTGGTTCAGCTTGCTGACCAGGGAATACTGGAGGATGATAGGGACGAAGCAATGAAACATGGAATACATCATGGATACCTGCCATCGTTCCTGGTAATTCCAATTTACAAGCATGAGAACCTACCTGCCGTACTACCTTGTACGGCCCACCTTGCTTCACATCTAACTTCTTCATTGGTCTTTTAGTCTTGATGTTCTCTAACGACAGCATTACTAGGTCACCTTCCACGAAGTTCGGCGTAGTCCGGTGTTTCCTATTGTATCCTTCGGCGTACTTCTCGTTAGCTCTCTCAATTCCCTCAATACATTCTTTATGTATTTCGGTTAGGTCTTTTACCACCACTGTAGCAGCAGGTACCTCGACCTCACTGGCCTTAATCTCTTCAGCCCACCGAGGGTGGTACCCGTAGTTCGCATAGAATGGGGTCTTGTTTATCGCTGAATGATGGGTGTTGTTGTAAGCAAAGCTAGCTCGAGCAAGCAGCTTCGACCAGTCGTTCTGCTGGTAGGAAGTGAAGATTCGAAGGTATAATTCGAGGGACT